GCGGTTAAGACTTGGAGAAGGAGATGCCGCAGTAATACAAGCTTACTTTTTGAACATGCAAGTAAGGTGCCCGGGTTTTTACTTCAGTATGGATTTAGACGAAGAGTCGTGGCTGAGGAATAATTTTTGGGCTGATAATAGGAGTAGACAAGTATACAAGGAGTTCGACGATATTGTAACATTTGATACCACGTTCCTAACTAATAAGTATGACATGTCATTTGCACCTTTTGTTGGAGTTAATATCACGGAAAATCAACACTACTCGGTTGTGGTTTAGTGTCGAATGAAAGTTCAGAAACATTTGTGTGGCTTTTCAGGACTTGACTTCATTGCATGCATGGCCAAGCTTCCCAGGGAATTACGGACTAGGATAAGGCTATGCGAAATACAATTCAGATCGTGTTTCCGAACACAGGCATAGATGGTATGACACATATTGAAAAAGTTGCAAGAAAAGTTGGATACCATGTGGATAAGGGTGCGATTATTTCAACTATATACGTATTGGTGTATGATTCTCAAACTGTTGAAGAATTTGAAGAAGGTTGGGGAGCGATGATCGATGCATTTAACTTGCATGATAATAAATGGTTGTCAGGAATGTAAACGAATAGAGGCCGTTGGGTACCTTGTTATTTGAAAAATAATTTATGGGCGGGAATGTCGACAACTCAATTTAGTGAGAGTATGATTTTTCGATGGGTATGTGCATTCAAAGACGTCGATGAAGCAATTTGTTGAACAATACGATCGGGCATTGAGAAATAAGGTCGGGAAGGAGTTTCAGGCAAATTTCAAGTCATTCTCACAAATGGTACCCTGTGCGACGAAGTACGAGATGGAAAAACAATTTCAACAAGTTTATACCATCTCGAAATTCAGGGAAGTTCAAGATGAGTTCATTGGGAATGTTAATTGTGACCTTATATCTGCTTCGAATGGCTTTTCGAGGACGACATACGAGTAAAAGGAGGATGTCATACATGATGAGCGTGTTGATAAGAAAACGTTTTTCGTCACATTTCAAAAAGAAAAATGTGAAATTGTTTGCACCTGCCAGTTATTTGAGTTTTGAGGAATAATTTGCAGGCATGTGATCACCGTGCTGCTCTGTAATAACGTCAAATCACTGTCGAACATCTATATATTACGGAAAAGGTAGAGAGATGTGAGTAGAGCCCACACGAAGATCGCAATACACTATGATGGGTTAAGTAACACTCCAGGACAGTTGAGATATGATAAAATGTGTCAATCATTTGCTTCGCTTGCGGACATGATTACAGATGATGACGATCAAGCCTGAGCTATAACGAAGTGGATAGAATGCAAAAACAAATAATAAAGACGACAAGGTAAGGTTGTGGAAGTAATGTGTCCCAGCAGATTGTCCAAAGAGCTTCGTAGAGTAGAGCATCACAGCATACTGACAAGGGAAGCATACATGATCCAATATGCTCTAAGCATAAAGGAGCGCCCAATAAACTTCCAAAAAAAGCCCTTTGGAATCGAGTTCCAATAAGGCAAAGGCATGTGTCAAAATTATTTAATATATTATGAAAGAGACTGAGTGCACATCCATGTTAAATGGGAGATGGTGCACCTATCATTTAGGTACACCATCAAGCACAATACTACATGCCTTCTCCAATCTCATATTATGAAGTTTTTCAATGAATTTGATTACCACGTTTTTACTTACATTTTTAGTTGATATAGGGTGATGGCAACAGTCATGTGCTCACACAACACTTACAGTCACCCAATTTTCATCCATCTATCTTCAACAACTATTACACTCAATGGTCAAGGTAATGACTTGATTAAACATACGTAATTTAGATTCCTCATTTTCTCTAATTCGTGTATTAACTTTTCTATTTTACAGAAGGAAATGTAATGCCGTACTATTATCCGAATGTATCTAACCAACGTGGCTCAAGATTGTGACATCAAGTGGGGTCCTGGCTGGAAAAAGACACAAAAAGTGTGATTTGATACAAAAAAAGCATATTCTGTACGAATTTCAAGAAATTCTGATCAGAAAACTGATTATTATCACAACAACCAGATCGTAGAGTAGAGAAACCTTTAATTTAGACTTATTGGACTTGTTACAGAGAGAGAAAAACAAATAGA